CTTTTTATCCTCACTCCTGTCTTTCTCCTCTCACTCACTCATTCACTCACTCTCTCCTCTGACTTTCTTGCACCCTAATCCTGAGTTGAATGATGTCTGCTCCAATTCTCCCTCAGGCACCACAAAGCCAACAAGTAAAATCTATAATTGGTGGCATGCCCACTGTGAATTTACTTATTTAATTGTTTTTAGAGATAGATGGCTACACTTGTACTAAGTCACCAATGAGCTAATTACAAGTATTGCCTATCTTGCCATTTTACCCTTTTCCTTGAGTTATGAAAATATCTTACAATAACTTATTTTACTGTTACTAATGTTTTTCACATTATAGTAATTATAATGTTTATAATAAAAATAACACCATCAATATTCATAGCACTAGTAATAAATATGTTTTTCCCACCAATTCAAGGTGAAATCAGGTAAGGTCACAAAGTCTACTAATTGACTCCTTGGTGGCTAAGCACTAGCAGAGCCATCTATGTGCAGAGACACTTAAAAAAATATAAAAAATGAGCACAGCATTTTACCTATTTTTTATTCATTTTCCCTGGTGGCACTGGGTTAAGTTGCATAACTTCCAATCAGCTTATCAAATTACAAATCACTCTACTCATCAATGATTTCACCATGTGGGTTTTTCTACCACCTTGTTCTTTAACCCATTCGCAACGGGTAAAAATGAACAAAAAATGGGGAAAATGCTGTGCTCATTTTATATACTTTTTGTGAAATGTCTCTACACATAGATGGCTCTGCCTTACCTGATTTCATTTGGCGGGAAATTTTTTTTTCTACTAGTGCTATGAATATTGATGGTTATTTTTATTATAAACATTATAATTACTATAATGTTATAAACATTAGTAAATGCAAAATAAGATAATGTAAAATATTTTCGTAAATTAAAGAAAAGGGTAAACGAGTGAGATAGGCAGTACTCGCAACAAGTGTAGCCATCTATGTGTAAAAACAATTAAAACAAGTAAGCTCACAGTGGGCATGTCACGTACATGTGACACCCGGCGCGAATGGGTTAAATACTCATTCAGCTGTCTCTCAAACTGAAATTGGTTTATCTTTCCTTTTATTTGCCCCTTCATATAATTTGAAATCCTCTGGTCTCTAAAATCACTTCCTTATCATGATCCTCCATCTTTTTTTTTCCATTTAAGTTGCCTTCTACATTCTATCTATAGCTTGCAGCTCAAGGCCAATCATTTACTAATCCCATCAGCACCACCAGATTTAACCAAGACCTTGCAAAAAGAGATCAGCTCTTGTTATATCTCCAGCTTGTGCTATCCTTCCTATAGTATTCTGCATGAGCTTGGGATAAAATAGCATATTAACACCAAGTTTTCAATCTTATAGGATTTATAAGCTATCCCTTCCACGGTCCATAATAGCTGTTTATTTCTTTGAGGCCACACACCATACTGATCAATCCACACTCTTTACAGGTAAAAAATTAATCAATTAATTAATAAAAAAATGATTTAAAAAAAGGTTCCTTCCAATTGTAACTAGAAAACCATAAAATAAAGGCTTTCTTCTAACTTCGATACTCCTTTTTTAGCTGCAAGAAAAATTTTGGGCAAACTTTATCGCTTATGATTTGGCAGACAAAAGATTAATGTAACGATGACTGGTGACAAATTAACTGTTACATAGAGAGGACAGCCAAGCTGGCTTACACATGAATGAGTCTTATGCTGAGATTTTTACTTCAAATTGGAAAATAAGGGACAAATAGAGAAATAATTTCATAATGTTATGAATAAAATAAAAAAGACTCCAGCAATAATAAGTGATAATTATTGCATAACAAATAAATAAAATAAATAAATAAAAATAAACAACATCACAGAAAGCCACTTTTATAATACTATAAATAATAACAATAATAATATCATTCTACTGTCTATTTCAAAAACTACAAAATAGTTTTATGTGATATGGAGAGGAACTACTTTCAAAAGGTGCTCATAATGCATATCTAAAATCTACAATTTGAAATTGTGAAATTTAAAAATGTCACAAAGGAATAAATAAGCAAAAAAATAAAGTCTGTTAATTCTTAAAACGTAAATAACATTTAGACCACATAAATCGGTTTCTTTTCCTTGTGTTCATAACACATCCTTAGAGGAAGAGATATAGGGAGGAAGATGGGGGGGGGGAGGGAGAGGGAGAGAGAGAGGGAGTGAGGGAGAGGAAGGGAGGGAGGGAGGGAGAGAGGGAGGGAGGGAGGGAGAGAGAGAGAGAGAGAGAGAGAGAGAGAGAGAGAGAGAGAGAGAGAGAGAGAGAGAGAGAGAGAGAGGGAGAGGGGGAGAGGGGGAGAGGGAGAGAGGGAGAGAGGGAGAGAGGGAGAGAGGGAGAGAGAGAGGGAGAGAGAGAGGGAGAGAGAGAAAGAGAGAGAGAGAGAGAGAGAGAGAGAGAGAGAGAGAGAGAGAGAGAGAGAGAGAGAGAGAGAGAGAGAGAGAGAGAGAGAGAG